ACATGCTTTTCAATGCAGTGCAATGACTGCATGGCGTACACGCTTGGGAAATGATGCAGTCTCGGAATTTTCCAGTATTTATCATGAAGTCAGTTATGTCATTTTCTACCCTTCTTGCCTAAGAATCATCATCCGCCGTTCAGAGAGTAATACAATACATCGTGCGTCTCATGATGTGCCTCCTTCGGTTAGAACTGCAGACGCTGAACCCCATTTTGTCGCTCCACATTTGACTGGGGTGTCGTTCTTCTGAAAAAAAAATTTGCCTGGAAAAGATCCAACTCGTCATCCGTGGTTATCAAGAATTCGTTAGCCTTGTTGTTCATAATATTCTTTTATTATTCTTCCTTGATTTCCCTCTTTTTATGTATACCATTCGTAATAGTTAAGAAGTGACTTCTGAATGTGGTTGGTACCTATCATCAGTAAGAAACTTGGCGCACTGTAGTGTAACAGTAAACTACAAAGCGGATAAGATATCCATTAATGGGAAATTTTCTAAGTAGAGCGGTGGTTGTTAACAGAGGTGAGAAAGCACGCCGATTCTCTTGGATAACTCGGCAGGCCTGAAAAGTAGATGCCGCTATTTTCAATGTACATGTTTTAGTGTTCCCTTTTTAGTCCCGGCGTCGTAAAAACGGACCTGCAGAAAGCAGTGTGCAGCCAGGAGGAGTATGAAAAGGCATGGTTATTGTTTTGGACTAATTAAATAACTGACACTTATTTGCCACTATAGTTTATCGAACATTCCAAAGAAACGCACGCACTCGGCCGAGTTGGAGAATCGATCGAAGTAGCTAAGGCGGTGGCATTTCTCGCCAGTGACGATGCGTCGTTCACGACAGGCAATTTGTTTCGCATTGACGGTGGTCGCGGTCTTATGGTGCCCCGTTAAATTTTAAAGGCATTTTAGATTCGGCTTCTATAAGTTACTTTGTGACTTAGAAACATGCTAAGTTGATTTTCATGCTGTTAATGAAATCCAGATGCATGGTTGCTTCTAGCGTATTGTTTATTACGAGCTTGTGATCACGGCGAACAGTAAAGCGAAATGAATCGACTTTTTTTATTGAACTTTGTGAACATATATCAGACATGAGAAATGGAAGCAAAATGAGCACTGTCCCAAAGGCTCTGTCTACGCCAATAGCGAAGAACTCGAAGAGGTTACTAGCTGTGTATAGGGTCAGTTTAATCGTATTAAAACATCACTGCTCGACAGCGAACTGTCCATGCGGGAGAAGAAACAACTGTTATGTTGAACTGTCCTGCTCGCCATGATTTGAGACGCTGAATGTTATACTGCTACTAAAGTCGAGGAGAACAAACTACTGGTCAAACAAAGATTGAGGCAGCGAAAATATGCGAGATGTCCGTCCGGGATCACGTTCCGAGCACACGAATTTGACAAGTGCCTTAATTAACATACGTGATTTCCGCCTTCTACGATGCCAACCGAAGATGAGGTCATGTGGCTCGCTTGAGAGACAACCGGTGGTTGTCAAGAATTATAAACTGGATTCCTTTGGACCACCAGCGTCGAGCTGGTTATCCAAGAATACGCAGGAATGAACCGATGGTCAAATTATTTGGTCAGCGGTGAAGGAAGAAAGCGGAAAATAGAGAATATTGGAGACGCGTTGACTTGCGTTCATGGCGTAACAATAACAAGGACAAGTCGAATAACGGACATCAAACATGCGAACTCGTTAAAAGCACAGTGATTATATTATTACAAGTAATCTGACTGCTGGAAATTGCTTTCAGTCTGCAGCATTGTACGATGCATGAATAAAATAAAATGCAGTATAGTGAAGACAAGAGAAAAGACATCAACCATGAAGAAACATTTAATACAGATCATGAATATAAGATTCGGAGACCTGGGACAGAAACCCTATTGGACTTCTAATCATTAATAATGCAAGTAAAATTCGTAGCGAAAAAGCTACACAAGATGGGACAATTATATAACGTGATCTCATGTGAAAGACCATTAGCATCGAAGCCGCCATTGCAGACCAATCCACAGCATCACTGATGAAGAGCCCGTGAATTACGAGCTGAAATTTCAGCATTTCTGGCTTATTACCTGATAGATCGTGTATCTAATGTATAGCGGATTTTGTTCGAACGTTTCAGTGCTACCAGCGAAAGATTCATGTACTTACCATGTTACAGTAAAGGTTTAAGGCAATTAACCATATATAATTTCGGAGGTTAGCACGGAGTCACCTAAAACGTAGCCAAATACCCCTCATGGTATTTCTGCTATCACTGGTTATGCCCGCGCCCAGGTTACCTAGGATTATGCATACAGCTGGAGAACTGAAGCAGACAGAAAAGTCGTCGAACTGAACCTGTTTCAGTCCCTTGGCAGCAGGGACGTAGCAGCACGGCAACAACAGCGACGAAAAGCCAGTCAGCAACGAACTTTCCAGCTGTAATGAACGGATTTAGAAGTTACAGCTGTGATGGTTCGAGCATATTTGGCGAATGCTTCTTGAAAGGAAGGCAGAAT